TATATATGTTATAGTACTAAAATTGTTTTGATTTAACCAAAACACGTTTAATTTTTAAAAAGTAAAGTATGTATTTTTATTAAGATATTTATTTTTTTCTAATGAAATTTAATATCGTTTTAAACTCAATGGCGCAGATATGTGTCACTCTCCTCAGATTGTAAAGAATTTATTTCGTGCGCCAAATTTGTACAAAATTTCAATCAAATGTTCGTAAATTTGGTAGTGTTAGCGAAATTCTACCGTAATATTCTAACGTCTTATACACGTGAAACTAACCGCGAAAGAAGCCTTTTTCACCGGTAAAACTGAAACATTCCTCACTTTGTAATCTTATACATTTTGGGATACGCGCTTATTTAAAATTTCAGTGAATTAACGTACATTGAGACACAATATTGAAAACAAAAATGGTTGTGAATTGAAAACGTAAGTTCGACATTTTGGCAACGTGGAACCAGGGACACTTACAGTCGTTACAGATGAAAACACATGGAATATCTTAGTGATATTAAACGCAAGAATATTTAAAAAGGATGTCTGCACGTGGAAAGAGAAAAGCAAAGTCTAGAGATAAATACGTGTGAATGTTCTGTTCCAAATGACATCTTCTTGAGAAAAAAGGCCTTTTCGAAAATGGGCGTTGCTTCGCTATCTGTGGATTTGTTGTGTTTAAGTACAATTTACGCCAATGATGTGTATTTGGTTGATTTTTTCAGTTGATTTCTTCGGTATTTCCAATCTTTTTAAAAAATGAACTCATAACAGTATTTCCCAGACTAGTTCGTTTCGTTTTTATAATAATACGAACAATCATCATTTATAAATAGACATTGAAAAATAATGCTTCTAAGGGATACAGTGGGATACAATTAGTTATTACCCATGCGATACACAATTATCCCGCGTATAAAATGTTTGTTTATTTATCGTGTGTGAGATCGTAGTAATATACTGAAAAGTCGCATTTTTGCTTTTCATTACTTCAAGAAGAGCAATTCGCTGTAAGTATTTTCTTTTAATTTCTTTACATTTTGTTAGTACAGTGATTTTAGTGAACTTGAATATCATTTGTCTGTCTGAAAATGTAAAACATTTCGATGGACACATGGAGAAGGGTATTTAATTAAACATACTTGATATATAGTTGTGTTTGAAATATTTTGGTTCAACGTCGGTAGAATACAAACTTCATTTGGCTATTTGGTGCCTAGTGTATAAAGCATTCCCAAATGCATTTTGGATGGATGAGACGCATTTTATTAACTTGGAATAAATAGCATATAGGGAATGCAAGATTTCAGGGCCGTATTGCTTTAAACAAATCTCACATCATTCAGCTTTGTCATGTTTTTAACACAAGTAAAGCAAACTGCTCATACAGCTATAAAATAGCTTTGTGATAGTTGGTTTTCTTTTTAATTTGTCTCTTGTATTTATGAGACCCTTAATTAATGTTGTTTGTTTGTTTTCACCAAAAAAGCAGACATATTCTGATTAAGAAGTTCATTCATAAAATTATTCTAATAAAAGTTTTTCGTATTTCTAATTTAAACAAAATCATTAACTTTATGAAAAGCTCCAGTTCTTCTGATTGCGTAAACTAAACCGTGACCACTGATTCCAATGTGTACAACACCATAATGTGAAATTTTCTCAGGTGTATTTGTAACTACATATTCAATAAAGCTAGATGACCTAATAGTAATTAGAAGTTGGTTCATTAAGTTTGAAGTTTGAGATGTAGTAATAATACATAAAATATTGTACCAATTCATATATTATAATGGTGTTACTGATTCCAAAAATCCAAATAGATCGGTGAATCGGTCTAATCTAAGAAGTTTCATTGTATTATGACACAAATTATAAGGATTATAATAGTGCTACAGCTTACAACGTTAATATAGAGATCAGTTTTAACCTGCGCTAATTTTTGCGGGTTTTTGTGTTCTTTTTCCATTTTTTTCCGACTGTACGTCTTCGTGCGAGTAATTTGGGTCGATGGGATTCATTGAAATAAAAAAATTACATGTATTTCAAAGAATTATCGCCGGATCTTGCAAAGATCGGTACGATCAGTGAGAATTCCTTACCAGGCTTTCTGACCGTGGGTTTTTGTCCAACGACAAAAACCCACGGTCAAGAGGCCTGGTAATTGATGCTTAAACGCTTAGTCAGCGAATTTAAAGTGCTACAGTTTTAAATCACTAATTCACCCGTTTTTTGTTTTTCTTCTATTTCTTACGACTATTGGGTTCATGGGATTTATTTAAATCTAAAAATTACATGTAGCTCAGCCTGGTAATTGAATTGCTTAAAAGCTTAGTCAGCGAATATAAAGTGCTACATCCTAGGGCATCGCTATAGAGATCAGTTTGAAATATAACAATAACAATGATATTAATAATTCCTATTTAAAAAAAATTCCAATTTCTAATTATTACCATTCCAACCATTTTTAAGAGTTTACATGGAATTTATGTAAGAACAGTGCTTATAGAAAAACTATTAATAGAGTATATTAACATATTAATAAGAATTATCCATTGTTATATCAATGATTATCAACTAACAAAATATGAAACTTATGCATTCTGTATTTCCTTTTAGCATTTCCTTTGGGTGTGCTAAGGGAGAGGATTGGAGTATATACACCAAAATGTCTTCTGTAAGTATTGTTTATATAAACTATGATTATTTTTTAACCAAATGGGCAACAATAAGTCATGCATATTTTCACAGTGTGTTAATCTTTTCCCTCTTGTGCAGTTTTCGCTGCGCTTCGATGCTTGCACAGACATTGGTAATTGTTAAATCTGTGTAAACTTTATTGTGCACTTCCATGGAATGACCAATACCTTTTGCTATTGCCCGTCTTTCCGTATCAGTTAGCTGTTCATTCCCAGCTGTTGCAACCGCATGTCGAATCTTTGTTGCTGTAATGTGCTTGTCATGGTTCTTCGTAACTTTTGTGACAGATTTTCCTGGCTTGGCTAACATTCGTCCGGATGCATTCAAGAACACATTTTGCTTGTAGGGTGATTTAGGTTTCGCCTGGGGTCTTACATATTTCAAATAGTTATGTAGCTGTATCCATACTGTTTCAGTAAATGGCACAGGAAGTGGCCCATGCGTTGCGAATGTTTTATGATTTAAGACAAAAACTATATTGTATACTGTACCATCAGTAGGTGATATGTATACTACAGGATTGTCTATTTCTTGCAAAGTCATAAATTGAAATGCCCCTGGTCTTATTGCACTTTCCTGTGTTATAGTTATTGTGATAAGTGTATCAACAATAAGCCTGTACTCCTCTTGGGTAAGTTTCTTTTTTGACATTGCTCGTTTCATGATTGCAATGAATCGAGCAATTGTATGTTCAGAGACAGCTGTGTCTATATCTTCCATGGTTAGGTTAAACCCACACAACTCATTCCTCCAGGAATTTTGCATTCGTAGAACCTTTTTTTGTTTTGCAAGTGGCTTAAGCCATTCAGAATATTCTGCAATAGCTCTTTTGCATTTCGTGTGAATCTTTGGTTTTTTATGGCCGAGGAATTTCAGGGCTATTGTAATTCTTTCAATCTTTGATTTAAGCCCATCAGGGCCTAAACCAGCATCTTTTGTAGTAATAAGATAATTGTTGAGTGCTTTGGCATCCAACAGCCTATTCCATTTCAGCTTGGTTGGAAAAGAAAAATATAGGAATCTATTTCAAGAAAACAAAATGTCAGTCTCAATTTTATATTCTCGTTGTTTCTTGCAGACAATATCTAAATCTATTAAATACCAACCTGCTAACTTCACTTGCTATTTCATCTGTGCATGCGAGTTGGCCGCCAGATGGCGATTTGAGCCATGAGATGAACTTTTCAAACTTACTCATAGGAAACTTCTTATAAAGGCCTTTACACCTTAGAATCTCAAACATTTGTTTTCTGCTCGATGGTGCATTTTGTTTCTCTCGCAAGGCTGAAACTGTCATTGCGTTAATTTGCATCGACCCTTGATGTTCTAGATAATTGTCTAACAATTCGTTCTCATGTCTAGTAACGCTTTCTCCCTCTTGCGGTTCATTGGAATCAAAGTCATGTTCTTCTGGTCGTAGTTTTTTGCGCTTTGGAGCGACATTGTAGAATCGTTTCTGGTTTTTCCGACGTTTCTTATTTAAGCGTATTCCTCTGCCAAGACTGCACGTTATAACCTATAATATCATGGAAATAATCGGTGATTAATTAATTGCGCAAATAAAAGGGAGAAAACGTAAATTCATTCTTCATCTTGCCTTAAAATTGTCCAAATCAATATGTGTTAGCCCTGTTTGTAGAATAAAGTCGGAATAAACCTCCTCGGGTGTTGGACACTGAACATCTTTAGTTTGTTGAATAATAGAAAAATTTTCTTCCCAAAACCGTGAGACCTTCAGTCTGTCATCCATCCTTCAGGTATCAAGAGTGTCATTGTTATGCCTGTGTAACGCGACACCGCGGAAATTGGTATAGACTTAGCCGCAATTCTCAATACTTAGACTTCAAACTTGGTGAGAAAAAATATTTATGAATATTCAAGAAAATATGCCTTGCACAAAAGATTTGAAGCTTGCACACGGTAAAAACGAATCGTCTGAATTAATAACATTTTGTATACTTTAAGCGTCAAAATAGCCATTTCATAGCGGTCATATGTGTATGAGCTGTCAAAAGGTTGCAGAATGCGTATTCAGAAGAGAAATTGAACGTTTTTAAGATATTCAAAAGGTTTCTCTTTGATTGCGGTACAGAAATGCACAATTCTGGGTTGAAACTTCTTAAACACCAGTCTCTGTGGTGTCCTGTAACGCCAGCATATCAAATTTCAAAGGTCTTTCCGAACTAACAAACATCGCCCTTGTTTTTTCAGCTTATTCAGTTAAAACAATATTGGCTCGAGTGGCAGCCTACGGACCCGGCAAACATTATCGAATCCCTCAGGTAATGATGATAATTTTTACGTATTCCATTCGGCATTGATGATGATCGATCCATCCTGGATCGCCCTGGCATACCTAGTGCCAATTGTAAGATTAATGAAGTTTAAAACAAATTTTTTGGGATTAGGTGTTATTAACAGTAGCAAGGTTTCACAACTGTATGTTTCTAACGTGCGATTTTACCTTTTCCCAGTGCGGACACCAGCGGATTGAACGTTATTCCATGCATTCGGTCCCGATCAGGTAATCATTAATTTTTTTCTGTATTGCATTTAATTATACATTGCGTTTGGTTTTGCGTTGCGTTGTGTTTTGCGTTGCGTTGTGTTTCGATTTCCGTTTCTGTTTGATATGAAGCGAGGTTTCTTAAAATACTACAAATCTACAACGTGACTTTCATGCATAATTCTTTCTGTATCGCATTCTCGGGACTTTATAAATCGTGTTTGGTTTTGCGTTGCGTTGCGTTTGGATTTATAATTCTATAATTAACAGGGGAGCTATCGTTTGGTTTAGAAACGAGCGTGGTATACAACTGAAGTTTCAATTTAGTATGGGTAGATTTAAGCAAAAAGCGAGCCTATATACATCGATGAAGCGAGCTTTCTTAAGATACATCAAATCCGTTGATGGTTTTTAAAATCTTTTAAGTTTAGTGTAATATATAAGTTACTTTTGTGTTCGAATTTTGATTATATGTTCGGCTAATTATTTGGTCTTTATCTCGCTGCCAAGGCTGACGTGCGGTGCTACGGACAAGTCAGTTTGCACCCATAGGTCTTGCAGTAATGATAATACCATCTATCTATATATTGTTCAAGAATGAAATGGTCACGCAAGCATGGAGTATGATTTCGTGAGTTTACTTCGTGATTAGTGTAACTCCGTTTCAACATTCCTTGCTTAGTTTTGTGATATTTCCTTCACCCGAAAAGCCTCTAAAACTCTAAACCCTAACCCTAACCCTAACCCTAACCCTAACCCTAACCCTAACCCTAACCCTAACCCTAACCCTAACCCTAACCATAGGGTTATACCGAAAATTCAAAAAGTTCTCGAACAAATCTGAAAAAATTTTTATAATTAATAAAAAACTCCGAATATCCCTAAACATCCCTTTATAACCCTAGGAAACCCTTTCAAACCCTTAGATTTTAAGAAAACAAATTTAGCTATCCCTAACCCTAACCCTTACCATAAAAAAATCCAAAATTTTAAATGCCTCAAAAAAATCTGAAAAAATTTTTAAAATAAAAAGAATATTATATTTATCCTAAAACTACCCTCTATGTTCCTAGAAAACTTTTTAAACTTCTAAAATGGTAATTTAATTTTTAGCTTTACCAACCCTAACCCTAACCCATACCCTAAAAAAATCCAAAATTTTAATTTGCTCGAACAAATTTGAAAAAATGTTTAAAATTAAGAAAATATTTTTTTGAGCCTAAAAAAACTGGTGATGTCCCTGGAAAACCTTTTAAACTCCTAAAAATTTAAAAAGAAGAAAAACCAACCCTATGGCAAACCCTTGACCCCATGGCAAACCCCAACCCTAAGGCTGACCGTTTCTCGCCTCTGAGACCCGTAATTTTCTCTCCTCCTCTCTTCTCTCCTTTTTCCTCTCCCTCCTCCCCCCTCTTCCCTCCCCTCTCCCCCTCTTCCCTCCCCTCTCCCCCTCCTCCCTCCCCTCTCTTCCCCCCCTTTTCTTCTCTTTTTTTCCTCTTTTTCTCCCCTGTTTTTTCCCTCCTTTTTTCCCCCTTTTTTCCCTCTATTTTCTCCCCTTTTTCTCCCCTTTTTTCTCCCCTTTTTTTTCTGCCTTTTTTCTTCCCCTTTTTTTCCCCTTTTTTTTCCCCCTTCTTTTTCCCTTTTTTTTCTCTCCTTCTTTCTCCCCTTTTTCCTTCTCCTTTTTCCTTCCCTTTCTTTCCCCTCCCTTTTTTTTCCTTTCTCTCTCCTCTCCCTTCCTTTCCCTCCCTTCTCCCCTTCCCTTCCTTCCTCCCTCTCCTTTTCTCTCCCCTCCTTTCCCTCTCCCCCTCCCCTCTTCCCTTCTCTTTCCTCTTCCCCTTTCCTTTCCTTTTCTCCCTTCCCTTTTCTTTTCTTTCCTTCTCCTTCCCTTAACCCCCTTCCCTTTTCCTTCTTTTCATTTTCTCCTCTCTTTTCTTCCTTCCCTCTTCTCTCCTTTCCCTCCCCCTCCCCTTCTCCCCTTCCCTCCTTTTCCTTCCCCTCTCCTTTTGTTTTTCCCTTCCCTTTTTCCCCTTCTTTTTTTCCCCTTCCCCTTTCCCTCTTCTCTTCCCTTCCCCTTCCTCTTCCTTTCCTTTTCCCCTCTCCCTTTCCCTCTTCTTTTCCCTTCCCTTTTCTTTTCTTTTCCTTTCCCTTCTCCTTTCCTTTCCCCTTCTCTCTCTCCTCTTCTTCCCCCTTTCCCTCTCCTTTTTCTTTCCCCCTCTCCCTCTTCTTTTTCTTCCCCCTCTCCCTCCTCTTTCCTCTTTCCCCTCCCTTTTCTTCTCTTTCCTCTCCCCTTCTCCCTTTCCTCTCTTTCCCCTCTCCCTCTTTCCTTTCCCCTTCTCTCCTCTTTCTCTTTCCTTCCCCTCTCCCCCCCTTTCTCCCCCTCTCCCCCCTCTTTTTCCCTTTCCTCTTTTTTCCCCTCTTCCCCTTCTCTTTCCTCTTTTTCTTCTTTCCCTCTCCCTCTCCTCTCCTTCCTTTTTTCCCCTTCCCTCCTCTTCCCTTCCCCTCTCCTTCCCTTTTCCTTCCCTTCTCTTTTCCTCTCTCTTCTCCTTTCCTTTCCCTTCCTTTCCCTTTCCCTCTCTCTTCTCCTTTCCTTTTCCTTCCTTTCTCTTTTCCCTCTCTCTTCTCCTTTCCTTTCCCTTCCTTTCTCTTTTCCCTCTCTCTTCTCCTTTCCTTTCCCTCTTTCTCCCTCCTCCCTTCTTTCCCCCTTCCTTTTCCTCCCCTCTCCTTCTCCCCTTCTCTCTCCCCTCTTTTTTTCCTCCCCCTTTTTTTTCTCCTCCCCCCTTTCTTTTTTCCCCTCCTTTTCTTTTTTTCTCCCCTTTTCTTTTCCCCTCTTTTCCTCCTCTCTCTCTCCTCCCTCCCTCCCCTTTTTTTTCCCCTCTTTCCTCCCCCTTCTTTCTTTTCTTTTTTCTCTTCCCTTCTTTTTCTTTCTTCTCTTCCCCTCTCTTTCTTCTCTTTTTTCCCTCCTCCCTTTCTCTCTCCTTTTTTTTCCTCCCCTCTTTCTCCTTTTTTTCCCCCCTTTTCCTTCTCCCCTTTTTTTTCCTCCCCTTTTCTTTCCTTTTTTCCTCCTCCTCCCCCCCCTTTTTTCCCCTTTTTTTCTCCCTCTATTTTTCTCCCTTTTTTTCTCCCTTTTTCTTCCCCTTTTTTTCCCCTTTTTTTTCCCCTTTTTTCCTCCCTTTCTTTCTCCTCTCTTTCCTCCTCTCTTTTCCTTCCCTTCTTTCCCCCCCCTTTTTTTTTCCTCTCTCCCCTCCTTTCCTTTATTTCTTTTCCTCTGCCCTCCTTTCCCTCTTCCCTTCCCCCCTCTTCCCTTCTCTCTCCTCTTCCCCTTTCCTTTTTTCCCTTCCCTCCTCTTCTCTTTTCCTCTCCTTCTCTTTTCCCCCTTCCCTCTTCCTTCCTTTCCCTCCCCTTCCCCCTTCCCTCTTCTCTCCCTTCCCTCTTTCTCCCCTTTTCCCCTTCCTTCCTTTTCCCTCCCCTCTCTTTCCCTTTTTTTCCCCTTCCCTTTTTTTCCCCTTTCCTTTTTTTTTCCTTCCCTTTTCCCTCTTCTTTCCTTTTCTCCCTCCCTCCCTCCCTCCTCTTTCTTCTCCCCTTTCCCTCTTTTTTCCCCTTCCTCTTCCTCTTCCTTTCCTTTTCCTCCTTCCTTCCTTCCTTCCCTCCTCTTCTCTTTTCCTTTCCCCTCTCCTTTCTTTTCTTCTCTTCTTCTCCCCTCTCCCTCTTCTTTTTCTTCTCCCCTTCCCTCCTCTCTCCTCCTCCCCCTCCCTTTTCTTTTCTTTTCCCTCCCCCTCTCTCTCTCCCTTCCTCCCCCTCCCCTTCTTTCCCTTCCTTTTCTCTCCTCTTTCTCTTTTCCTCCCCTCCTTCCCCCTTTCTCCCCCTCTTTTTTCTTCTTCTTCTTCTTTTCTTCTCTCCCCCTTCTTTCCTTTCCCCCTTTTCTTTCTCTTCTCCTTTTCTTTCTCCTTTTTTTCTTTCCTCCTTTTTTTTCCTCTCTCCCCCCCATTTTTTTTCCCTTTTTTTTCTCCTCCCTTTTTTCTCCCCCTTTTTTCTCTCCTTCCCCTTTCTCCCTTTTCTTCTCTTCCTCCCTTCCCCTTCTCTCCCCTTTTTTCCCTTTTTTCTTCTTCCCCTTCCTTCTTTCTTCTCTCCTTTCCTTTTCTCTCTTCTCTTTTCTGCCCCTTTTTTTTCTTTTCCTCTCCCCTTCCCTTTCCTCTCTCTTTCTCCTCTTTTTCTCTCTCTCTCCCATTTTCCCCCCTTTCCCCCTTTTTTCTCTCTCTCTTCTCCCCCTTCTTTCTTCTCCTCCTTTCTCCTTTTTCCCTTCCCTCTCTTTTCTCTCTCCTCTCTTTTTTCTTTCCCTTCTCTTCTCCCCCTCTCTCTTTTTTCTCCGCCTTTCTTCCCTCTTTCCCTTCTCTCCCTCCCTCTTTCCCTCCCCTCCCTTTTTTTCTTTCCCTCTCCTCTCCTTTCTTCCCTTCTTTCTCCTAACAACTCCTCCCAACATCTCCCAACCCTTTCTCACATTCCTCCAAATTTTCTCTCAAACTTCTCCCAACATTTTTACACACATTTTCCCAACTTCCTTCCAACTCTCTTCCAACCTTTCCATAACTTCTTTCCCATCATTTTCCAAACATTTCCATAACTTTCTCCCAACTTTCTCTCAACTTTCTCCCTATCTCTTTCCCAACATTTTCCACATCTTTTTTCCAACTGTTTCTTACCTTCTTCCACATATTTCTCCAACTTTTTTCCCAACTCTTTCCCAACTCTTTAACAACTTTTTTTCCAACTTTTTAACAACTTTTTCCCAACTTTTTCCACATCCTTTCCCCATCTTTTTCCCATCATTCTCCACATCTTTCTCCATAATTTTTCCCAACTCTTTTACAACTTTTTAACAACTTTTTTCTTAACTCTTTCCCAACTTTTTCCCAGCCTTTTTTCCATGTTTTACCTAACTTTTTCTCAACTTTTTCCCCATCTTTTCCCCAACTTTTTCCTAACATTTTCCACATCTTTCTCTAAATTTTTTCCCAACTTTTTTCCAACTTTTTACAACCTTTTAAAAACTCTTTAACCACTTTTTAACAACTTTTTAACTACTTTTTGCACCTCTCCCCCAACACTTCTTTACACACTTTTTTACAAACTTTTTTACACACTTTTATACACACCTTTTTCCAACTTTTTACACCATTTTTACACTATTTTAACACCATTCTTAGACACTTTTCACAACATTTTTACACACTTTTTACACACTTTTTTACACTCTTTTTTATACACTTTCTTACATCTTTTTACCCCTTTTTTTTTTTTACACCTTTTTTACACCTTTTTTACACCTTTTTTACACCATTTCTACACCATTTTTACACCATTTTTTAACACTTTTTTTACACACCATTATTACACCATTTTTACACCATTTTTACACTCTTTTTTAACACCATTTTTACACCATTTTTTAACACTATTTTTACACAAATTTACACCATTTTTTACACACTTTTTACACACATTTGCACCATTTTACACACTTCTTTACACCATTTTAACACCATTTTTACACCACTTTTACACCATTTTTACAGCATCTTTACAACATTTCTAACACTTTTTTTACACACTTTTTACACACTTTTTACACACTTTTTCACACCAATTTAACACACCTTTTTACACACTTTTTACACACTTTTTACACACTTTTTACACACTTTTTCACACCATTTTTAAATCTATTTTCACACACATTTTCACACAAATTTTTACACCAAATCCTTATCCTAGTGAATTTATCAAGCTCTAAGCATTTACATATTGCCTAAGTTATCTGGATTTTCTTGACCACAAAGAATTTTGTCTTGGGCTACCTGTGTCTATCTTGGGCTACCTGTGTCTGCTTCGAAACAGCTAGCCCAAGACAAATTAACTCTCCATCAAAAAAAATCTTAAACTTCATATAATAACATTTTAAACTTTCTTTTATTCTCTGAGTTTTTTTTGAAAAAAAAGTCTTTTGTCTTGGGCTTCCTGTGTCTATCTTGGGCTACCTGTGTCTGCTTCTAAACAGGTAGCCCAAGACAAATTAATTCTTCATCAAAAAAAATCTTAAACTTCCTATATTAACATTTTTTAACTTTCTTTGATTCTCTCAAATTTTTTTAAAAAAAAGTTTTTTGTCTTGGGCTAATGTGCCTGTCTTGGGCTACCTGTGTTGGTCTTGGGCTACCTGTGTCTTACTTTACACATTAGCCTAAGACATAGGAGATTTGTTAAAAGTTGTTAAAAAGTTGTTAAAAGTGGTTAAATGTTGTTGAAAAGTTTGTTGTCCAAAGTGAATCTCAAAAAAAAAGTGATTCCGATTCCGAATCAGAACTGAACAGTGAGTGAACTATATGAAAATCAGAACTGAACTGTGTGTGAACAGTGAGTGAACTGTACGAAAATCAGAACTGAACTGTGTGTGAACTGTACGAAAATCAGAACTGAAATGTTAGTGAACTATACAAAATCAGAACTGAACGGTGTTGAACTGTACGAAATCAGAACTGAACTGTGTGAGCTGTACGAAAATCAGAACTGAACTGTGAGTGAACTATACAAAAATCGGAACTGAACTGTGAGTGAACTATACAAAAATCAGAACTGAACTAATTATGACGTCACTTCCGGGGAGCATCGCTTATTTCTCTGCTTCCTTACACTTTGACTTTCAACTTCCGTTTTTCGTGGGCGTGGTCAGACACCCCGCTTAATCTACTTTTTTTCTCCAGATTCAAATTTTGAATAAATTTTTCGCGAGATTCATTTTCGGTTGCACTTTTTTCTCCAGATTCATTTTAAGATTTGAATATTTTCTTCAGATTCATTTTCAAATGACGTTTTTTTCTCCAATTCAGATTCTGAATTACTTTTTCCCAAGATTCATTTTTGGAGGGATTCGCTTTTTTCTCGAGATTCATTTTGTATTCACATTCACATTCACTCCACATTCAGATTCGGAAAAAAAATTTTCCCGAGATTCATTCTTGGAGAAAAAAACAGAATAGAAGATGAATCTCAAGAAAAAATTCGAATCTTAAAATGAATCTGGAGAAAAAAGTGAAACCGAAAATGAATCTTGAGAAAAATTTAATCGAAATTTGAAGCTGGAGAAAAAAAATTTATTCCAAAAATGAATCTCGATATAAAAGTGAATCCCAATTTGAATCTGGAGAAAAAAAGTGAATACAAAAATGAATCTCGAGAAAAAGCGAATCCTTCCAAAATGAACCTCGAGAATAAATTCGAATTTGAAAATGAATCTCGAGAAAAAAGCGAATCCTTCCAAAATGAATCTTGAGAAGAAATTCGAATTTGAAAATGAATCTCAAGAAAAAGTGAAAACGAAAATGAATCTCGAGAAAATTTAATCGAAATTTGAAGCTGGAGAAAAAAAATTTAATCCAAAAATGAATCTCGATATAAAAGTGAATCCCAATTTGAATCTCGACAAAAAAGTGAATCCAAAAATGAATCTTGAGAAAAAAAGTGAATCCTTCCGAGAATGAATCTCGAGAAAAAGTGATTCCGAATCTGAATGTGGAGAAAATAAGTGAATCCAAAATGAATCTCGAGAAAAATTTCCAATCCTAATTTGAATCTCGAGAAAAAAGAATCCAAAAATAAATCTCGAGAAAAAAGTGAATCCTTCTGAGAATGAATCTCGAGAAAAAAGTGAATCCCAATTTGAATCTGGAGAAAAAAAGTGAATCCAGAAATGAATCTCGACCAACCAACACACCCTACGAAATACCTCCATTGGATCCAATTCGCCGAATTTGTTTCAAAGACAAGGATCGAGGCAATAACATTATCAGAGACTTGGTTAAACACAACCATACCAAATGCCGAGATCAACTTGGAGGGCTATAAAATTTACCGCCAAGACCGCCTTCACAAAGAGGAGGAGGGGTAGCTGCGTACATTCGGAGTGATATTAAGGTCACCGTACTGAAGGAAATATCATCAGTTTCCACCGATTACTTCCAGCAGCTTTGGCTCAAACTTCAGACTAAAAAGTTAAGATCTATCCTGCTCTGTGTATCATATAGACCACCAGACTGCCCGCCGTCCTGCCTAGAAAACAACCTAAAAGCAAGTTATATGCAAGCCGCCATGCAGGACAAACCCATATTTATTTTGGGAGACCTCAATTGCAACACCATGAAGGTCACCGCTGAGACCACAGCATTGGAAAACTTCATGTACGAGATGAACTTAAAGCAATTGATCACTTCACCAACCAGGATCACAAACACTTGTGAATCACTAATCGACGTAATCATAACTTCATCACCCAACCTTGTCCATCAAAGTGGTGTTATGGACACACTCATAAGCGACCACCTACCAGTATACACCGCGTTAAACATGAAACTTCCTAAGCCATCAGTACAGAGCATCCTGACGCGAAGCTATAAAAGCTATGATAGTTCAAAGTTCATTACCCATCTTGGTACAAGATCACAAGAACTCATTTCTATCTTTTTCGATTCCAATGTCAATTCAAAACTCAGAAAACTTAATGATGTCCTCTCTACTACTTTGGCTGTCCATGCTCCAATTAAAGAGGTCAAGATTCGACGTCGCTCCTGTCCATTTGTTACTGCTGACATCAAAAAACAAATGATCTACAGAGACCAGCTACATCGTCGATACAAACAGACACGAGAAATGGAGGACTGGAAGAACTTTAAAACAGTCCAAAAATCAATCAAATCCACCTTAAAAGTCGCAGAGAAAGACTACGTCCGCACTGAAGTTAATACACATAAAGACAAACCTGGGTCACTTTGGAAAGTAATTCATAGCCGCATTCCGTCTAGAGACAAAACAACCCCAATATACAGCAAAAACCAGGAAGAGGTTGCCAACGATTTTAACAGTTTTTTCCAGTCAGTAGGGATAACAGCCGCCGAAACAGCTACGCAACTGGCCTTAGATAATAACATCAATATATCTTCCATGTCTGCCTGTGAAATCAAGAACCTACAATGTCCGATCGAAGAGTCATTCCACTTCATACCTGTTACCTGTGCGGAAATTGAACGCATACTAACATCTATGCCATCAAATAAATCACCAGGTCCCGACAAAATCAGTATGAGAACTATTAAAGACTGCCTCCAAGTAATCTTAGGCCCCCTGACGGATATCATCAACAGTTCATTTACAACTAATACGTTTCCAGAAGCTTGGAAAATAGCAGAAATCATACCAATATTAAAAGAAGGGGATCACGAAATAGCCTCAACAACCGTCCCCTCTCAATGCTCAATGTAATCTCGAAGGTATGTGAGAAAGCGGCCTTAAATCAATTCACGAGTTTTTTAAATCGGACCGGCCACCTTACGGCACACCAGAGTGGAAACAGAAAGTACCATTCAACGGAAACCCTCAATATATTAGTAAACGATTTTTTCCTGAACGCAATGGATAACAAAGAGCTATCTGCCCTTATTCTGTTAGATCTGTCCAAAGCCTTCGATAGCATCGACCACACAATATTGCTTCAAAAACTAAGCAATATTGGAGTATCTCGTAAGGCTCTAAATTGGTTTAGAAGCTACCTTTCAGACAGAAAGCAATACGTACGCATTGGCTCTTCAGTATCAGAAACTCTTTCAATCACTCATGGCGTCCCACAAGGGGCAATATTGTCACCTCTGTTATTTTGCATCTATAT